CCCCCTAAAGGGTGTCGACCCCATGATCCACACTGCAGCTCTCAGACAAGCCCAAGATGGATACAGGCATGCCCAGCATACTCAAGGTCTCCAGACTTGAACCAGAAACTCTTATATGTGGAATTGTCTCACAGAACGTACTGTTTTACCTATGTGCCACTGTCTGGTGCCAAGTCCATTTCTTACGGCTAGACCATCGAAATGAATACACCTAATCTCATGGAACAGATGCATTCTTGAAGGTAGGAGATATGAATAGAACATAAAATTGGATTTATTCATTTCTAGCATTGATTATGTGCATTACATATGTGCCTTGAACTACACTGACTGCATTATGTATATTACTTCATTTCATTAATCCTCACAATCACCACTTATTTTAAATACCCCTAAAAGATACTTAAATCATAAGAAGAATCCTTTCATAATATGTATATGTGTGTATATATATATAAAGATATACTTATATATACATATTTATATGTATATGCACACACATCTTCAGTAAAATGAATAATCCCCTCCAAGTCAATCTTTTTTGACACATTATTATCTATAATTATGGGGTACACAGTGTTATAAACTTATATAAATAGGATGGGATGACTGAATCAAGCTAATTAACATATTTATCAGCTGAAATCAACCCAGAAACCACTCGCAGGAATGTTCTATGATGATTTATTTAGCTCCTATATAACTGCAGCTTTCTACTTTTGACCAACCTCTTCCCATTTCTCCCAACTCCCAGCCTCTGATAACCACCAGAGAATAGTCTCTGCTTCTGAGTGTTCTATTGTTCTAGATTCCACATGAGTGAAATCATGCAGCATTTGTCTTTATCTGCCTGGCTTGTTTCACTTAATATAATATCTCCCAAGTTCAGCCATTTTGTTGCAAATGATAGGATTTCATTCTTTTTTTAAGGCTGAATAGTATTCCATCACATATACATATCACATTTTCTTTGTCCATTTACCTGCTGATGAACACTTAGGCTGACTGTGTAACTTGGCTATAGTGCTGCAACGAACACAGGAGTGCCAATATCTCTTCAGCATCCTCACTTCAACTCCTCTAGATATATACCCACAGTTGGGATTGCTGGATCTCAGGTAAATCTTTATTTTTAATCTGATTTTCCTTCTATTTGGGATATAACTCTAGTGGCTTGCATTTTTATAATTTATTTTACATTCCTTCACTGTATATCATTACAGCAATGAAAAACTGTATATTGGTTCAATCAAAGATATTACCATACAGGGACCAGCAAATAGTATAATGGCTATGTTGCTGAACTCCCATGTAGCTGACTGTGGTTTGAGTCCCGGACCCGGTGGCTTAAACTCACGCCGGGCGCGTGTGTGTGCGTGCCCAAGATCCTGAGAAGAGAATGAAGGAGAAGGGATTGTGGCGTGGCCATCCCCCCTGGGGGGTGATTTCTCGCTTTCCATCTTGCTGTCTCTGTCTTTCTGGTGAGCGCACGTGCCCGGTAGCAAAAACCTCTCCAAAAAAAAAAAAAAGTTATTACCATACATGTTTTCTTCAACAGATAATTTTCAATTTTGTGTCTCTTAAATATTTTTCTTTATTTCCCCCTTGATTCCCTCCCTTTCACTCTCTGCTTTTTGGGTACTGGGGAAGATTTTTCTTCTTCTGAGGAACAAAGTATGTATGAGAGAATTCAGAAATTTATAGAAAAAAAGAAATTAGACTTTCTCTGGTACAATTTTTTTTTGAAATCCATGCAGAATGTTTTCATAATAGGCATTTTCCACAAACTGTTTGAATACCCTGATGTATATGAAACGTGACAGTTTCCTTATGTTCTAAGAATACTATACATTAAGTTATAAGATCTTATTCCTCAAGTTAGAGTAAATACTCCAGTTAATGTATGGTCCTAATACTCTGTAAATCATTAACTGGGCTCTGAGTTTTGAATTTGAAGTTTTGAATTTGAATCTTATTTAAAAACACTAGAATCTTTTTGAAAAAAACATACCAGCAGGTCTGGGACCTTATTAGGGTGAAATCATTTAGCAGTTATAATTTAAATCCTTTCGTATAACTTCAGAAACTATGAGCAGTGGAAAAGCAAACAGGATGGGGGGAGGAACACAGTATCTACCAGTCATTTCTTCCTTTCTTGCTTCATACAGTTAAACACACACATATACTTATGTATGTGTGCAAATATAAGAAAAAAGGTTAATTAAGATTACATAGATGAAATAAAAATAAAAATCTTGAGCCTAAGCATAGTGCCTGATGAAACAAAACAAAATGAAAAAATTGGGAGCAGAAACACAGATTATGGGAAGAACTAGCTGCTAAGCAAGATTTTATCAGATCAGTAGTAACTTTTAGATTTCTCAGCAGAACTAAGACTAGAGCATTCTGTTCATTTCAATGCCTTTTGGGCAACTCCTACTTTATGGAAGAAAGATTTTAAGAATTGACACTATATCAAAGAAGTTGCTTATAAACCACCCTAATAAAAAATGCGTGGGAGAGAAGGTGGACAAAACCTAGTTGAAACGAATTTTTTTTTTTTTTTAGAAATCTGTTACCTTCATTTACCCAAAGAACTGATTGTACGGTATTTATTTTAAGAAATACCGCTTTTTTTTCCCACCAAGCTCTCCTTGATTCCTAATTAACAGGACCACTCTCTGCCTTTCTCCCTCAGCTCTACGAGGCTTTTGCAGAATTACAATTCTGACTAGCAGCGGGGCCAGCCGGTGCTTAGTAATTAAAACGGCTGGATCCCACATGGCCGGCTGTGTGGATCGAGCAGTCCCAGACCCAGCGGTTTGGGAAAGACCTGGAGCTCCTGTATATGCGCCCAAACCCCCCCGAAGCGAGAGAGAAATAGAGGACAAGAGACTACAGCGTGACCGTCCCCTTTCGAACTCCTCTCCCTTCAGTCATTATATTCGCCCTCTAGGAAAAAAAAATGTAAAAAAGAAAGAAACAATCACAAGAAAAAGAATTCTAACTAGCTGGAAGCGTCTGGCAGCACGCTTCAGACAGCACAAACCCCAACGAGTATATATATATTTTTTTCCAAGTTCACAGTCTACATACTGGCTACAGCTCGGACGAAGTGCCTATTCCGTCCTTCTCACTGGGGCGCTCAGCCTCCAAGGGGACGTCCCGGCTCCCGGGCTTT